AAAATCTTCTATCTCCTATTATATTAACTTCACTTTTATGGTTAAGTTATTTAATTTTATTATGAAAATTTAACTTTAAGTCCATAGTTAAATACTACACCTTAGACCAGTTGGCAGCCGATAGTACCTAAAGCAAACGTTTATTTTCAGACAGCGCAGAATCCTATTTGTCCCATTCAAGTTGGGACCTGATGACACGTACAGCAGATCTTGCAACTTTTTTTCTTTCTTGCTTTATGGTCATGTCCTGAAAAGGTTCCATGTCCAACGTTTGTGGGTGTCGGAAAACAACAAAAGAAGGAAGAGTAAAAATAACCTCACATGCTGTCCATGTCATCAAAATGGAGACCCAGATGCTTTGTGCAGGTAAGGGGAAAAAATGGAAAAGAAAAGTGGTAGGATGGTCGAGAACTTTTTGAGGAACTTTTGATTAATTAATCAACATGTCGTTCAAAATTTGTGAAGCAGCTGGCTCCTTGGATTTGATGACAAAAGCCTTGGGAACTTCGTATTAAGATGTCTTTAGCAGCAGGATCTTATTATTTTGTTAGCTGGATTGGATTGGTTCAATAACTTCGAATATGGTACTGTGAACTGGCTCAGGATGGAATCTTCCAACTTGTTGAACAAATAATGTTAGACCATTTGTTATTCATTTTTCTTTTTATATGGTTAAGTCAAAAGTGAATTGAGTTGCCCAGCCTCCAATACCATGTGATGGATCTTGTCTGCATTCATTGAGTTCAAACCATTTCATTTCAGGTAACCACCAAGACAAGTTGGTATGGTTGTTTTGTGTTATATTTAATATCAAGAACAGCGGATTTTGTAGGACAAACCTAGTTATTTTGGAAACTTTCTTTGTTTCACATGAGATTGACAGTGAAGCATTGGCATATATACATATATACACACACACACACACACACACACACACATATTTATAGGAGAGAACTGTCAAATTTGCAAGTACAAACTTTGGATGAGATAATCTAGCAGGAAATAAGGCATTAAGGCCAATGTAAAACATTTCCCATCTTACCATTAATACTTCTAAAGATAAGTGAAGAACAGTTGATAGAAGAAAAAGAAAAAAGGAAACCATGAAGAATATGGCCTCCAGGAATTATAGCAGACAAGGTCAGATAATGCTGTTAAGTAACTAATTATTCTGTTCATGACTGACCTGCAGTCAAAAAATTCAGAGCAAGAATCTTGTAGAGAGCTTTTGGGAAATGCCAACATGGAAAAGAATTAATTCACTTCCTTTTTACCGAAATCTGTAGAAGCTTACTGTAAGAACACCCATCAAAAATGGATTGGTATTCATACATCCGTCCCAATGATCAGCCTTTTGAACTCAAACCATAAACCCCAGAGAACTTCGGCATTTTCTCTGGTTTGATTCTGAGAGAAGGCTCTGTCAAAGAATATTGTTACTTTGATACTCACTGGCTCTTTAGCTGGCCTTGCATTAGTATTCTAAATCACCCACACTGCCAAATTTCTGCTGGACTCAACCTAGACATTCACATTAGCAGCAACCAGCAGTAGATACACATGGGTCTCTGCGTGGGGAAATTCGCATGCAACTTAAATCTTCATTTGATTTGTAGTAAAGCATTTTCTGTACATAGAACAACATATAACACTGTGAAGCTCTGACTGTCCCCTCATCAACCTCAGAAATCCAAGCATCATCACATTTGTACCACTGATTCTTTAGGCGCAGGTAAGTCACATAATGGCCTGATTCCAGCATTCCCGAATGAGCAATCATAGCAAAAATCTCATATTCTGCAGAACTATCAGAGTTGTCATATTCAAAGGCAAACAGTCTATTTCCAAATCGACTTCTAACAATTGAGGATGACAAATATGGAGTCATGTCCAATGAGAAAGGGAACTGCAAATATTGATCAATTTTCCTTGACATTTTTCTGACTAAAGAGTGCTCAAATCTCTTTATATGTAAACACAACACTAATGGGAGTCTTCTAATAGACAGTTGCTTTGATGAGTCCCGTAGTTCTTGACAATTCTGACAATAAAGTTTCTGGTCAGAACCCAACCTCTCTGCTCTAGTAAACAAATTCAAACAACCTGAAAGAGTAGACAGACCCATCTTCTCATCTGTTTTGATAGGTTTGTTAGCTACATTTGACGAAGAAAAGTTATTGGCTTCCCAGTCGAGTGAAATATCAATACAAGGATCATAAGTTGTGGAAGTAAATCCACAGGTGATACATGTGACATCAGATCTTAACAACCCAGAGAATGCCCTATGAGCAATGCATTGGCAGTCTCCATCATCTGTGTAAAAGAATAACAGTAACATGAGTAAAATAGAAGAACTGCACTGCAGCATGCAACAAAATTCCGTATCTTTCAATCCCAGATTACAACCATATTTTCAGTTTGAGTGGAATATCTATCAACACCCAAACACTGCTAAGATTCTCAGTATGTTTCTGACATTCATGAGTTACTCCACATAATCTGTGGCAACAACGAGAACACATTCTTCTACTTATATCTATAGGTATGTTATGATTCTCCAACTCAAGAGTCATAGAATCAATTCTAATTGTCTCCCACCTCTTCAAGATATGCATGTCAACATCAATATCCCAAACTATCTCTGACAACTTATCAAATCTCTTATTCAGCCTCTCGGCTTGGTGCCCTCACTGCATGCATCAGGAGCACAACTATATTTACAACTATCTGTTACCAACATATGAGATAGAGAACCATTACCACCTTTTGACATCATAATTGTACATATGACATGAATTTGAACCAAAACATCATCTCAGCTGGTTATTACCTTTGCTAGAGTTCCTTACTTTGCTCTCCTTCTCATGGATCCCATCTAAAACTGAAATGAAGAACTCATGAGCATCCTGCTCCTCATAACTAGCTAAATTTGACGAATGCTGCCACCAGCTACAAAAACAACGCAAATCCATCATAAAAACAGTCAATCCATCTTCAGACATTTAGCAACCAAAAAAAAAGGAAGGGACCAAATAGACCAAGCACCACATGCAGATTATCCAAATTGGATCTCAACAAACAGAAACAATTTGTCATTTTCAGCTATAATATAAAGAATTTGATTTAAGACCAATCTTAACAACCCTGAAGACACAGAATATTGCAAAGCCTAACCAATATTGAACCAAACTTTCAGTTTAATCAAAATACTTCAATAAAGCAACTAAGGATAGACCTACTTCTGTTCACATTATACTCATTCAATCAGATAGGCAGCTCCCAGCGTTGTAATATTTCACCTCCATTTAGTGTTGGTTTCTATTAGGAGCTGCAAGTTGATTATGAAGTGATTAAAATATTACAAACAACAGATCTCGGTTAAACACTCCTAATTGCTTAAAGCACAGTATATCTAATGCGAGTCGATTACCAAAATCACTAAGTCACGAAATATAACTATGGAAACATTGCTCAAACAGAGGGTGCTGACACACAGAGAATAATTTCATACCTGAAAAGAAACTGAGCTGGACTATAAGGGGTGCGATCACCCGAAAACATAGCTGAAGAAATAGCATCAATATCACAGAGCAAGCATAGCTTTTCACCAGATCTTTTCCTGCATTGATCACGGTTGTGCCGATCACTCAAAAAGTAATTCCTCAAAGGAGGAGCATGAAGCAAAGCCTGCAACACAGAATTCATGAAACAAGTACTCCCCAGATTGTTCAATCCCCTCAATCCCAGTGGATAACACGATTTTGCTCTCCGATCTCTCATTGAAATCAACTGTTTTGACTTCTTCAAATCTAATTCTATCCCTGAATCTATTCTCCTTCTCTTGCTTGATCTCCCAGAACACACCTCAAAACCATTACTTTTACCCCCAGGCAAGTCCCTGACTTGTTTAGACACAACAACCTTGTCAAAATCAGGATCATAGACCTGATCACAACACAAACAACAATAAAGCTCTGATCTGTCGATGTCGAGAGCCACCTCATGGCCGTTCTCAGATTGGGTATGCAAAAGGATGTGGCTTGAACAGGATATCGAAGAGCACATCAAACATATATAAAGTCTACCTTGATACCCATTACAAAAACTGCATCTGGGTATTGTAGTATCGTGTTTATCAACTCTACTTCTTCCATTTGGGGTGGTTTTGAGGCAATTTTGGAGGGAATTATAGCCATTGAAGCCACATCTGAGCTTGTAATCAGCTAGGTGTTTGCAGGGTTTGATGTTAGTGTACAAAGAGTTTCTTGCGCACATGCTGATATTGACGGAAAGCGGCTTCGAATTGAGGTACGAAGCTAAGATTTTTATTAGAATAAAACCGGAAAATAAAATAACCGGTAATAACTATATATGATATATTGACAAGAAAAGAACTTCTGATTTTTCAGGAAACTATTGAAAACGAAAGATTAGAAGAAGAATATCAGATAAGATTTGGAAACTTTGCTGCAGAAATATAAATGGGTCTCAACTTCTTCAGTCTGATTGATGAAATCGAGAGTGGACACAGGGGACGCAGATTGCAGAAGGTGCTTTGAGCTTCTTTTTGGACTATTATTCTATGTTCTTATTACAGAAAAATGAATAGTGACCGACCGCTGACCGATAAACTCTCTCTTATGGTCAGACAAGACCTGAATGTACAAAAATTAGAGTCAAATGAAATTCATAATATAATGTATATTTCTAACATGATAAATTCATAATAACTTCATCATTCACTATTACAGAATAACATTTTGTTTTATAATAATTAATCAATTATTAATAGTCATGAGAGTTGATTGAATTTTTTGTGAGAATTGGAACTTGAGTACTTCCAATTACTCTGTTTTTCCTAGGAAAAACAGAATCAGATTTCCATTGCCAGGTTCTAGTGAGACTCACCTGCACAGTTTATAAGCCCATGAACAACCTTTTCGTTTATTATCCATTAGAAATGGGGTGACTATTTTTTTGACAGATATCTCCCCATGAAATATCTCAATAAGAATTCTTTATTATGGAAAGAGAAAATAGCGCTGGACAACTGTTGGGCTGGTTGCAGTGTTAAATGAGAATAACAAACAATAGAAGTTCAGTTGCACTAAGTTGGAACAGCAAAGGGGGCATTAGACTAAATTGTCAATTTCAAAAATCGCCAGAGCCTCATGGAATGGCAACATAATGACTGCCCAACCTTCCAACCACCAATGAGTAGAATTTCATCAGTCTTAGCACTGGTAAAACCTCTTTATTGGAGAATTCATCAGTCTTAGCACTGGTAAAAACCTCTTCATTGGAGAAACAAGTGCTGTTGGAGTCAAACATTATTCACATTCATGCTTACTGGCTCTCATTGTCAGTTTCTGTATTATCAACTTCTGCAACATCTTCTAATTCATCCTCATCTTCAATGGGAACGTCTTCACTGTAAGCATCTAAGGAACCAACATGAAGAATGGTGAACTCATTAATCACCTTAAGAAAATCTGATGGATATTTTAATCAAACAATATGAGACAAAGTTATCACTTTATGCTGCAGTAGATCCACATACGATCCATGCAGATACTCAAAAAAGTGGGGACACCCTAAATTCTACCTTCAGTTCAGAAAGGTGTCGAACAGGATGAGTGAAATTTGCATTAGCTATATGATAGAGCATTACCCCCATAGTGAACATGAGAAGCAAAATGTATTCCAAGTATCATGTGGATTCTAGATTTGAAATGCACCACAATAAAGGGTGAAGAAAGCCACCAAATACCATCTAAAGGGTCAGTGTACCAAAACCAACTGGGACAAATTATAGAAAATCCTTACCCCTATGAGTCAATGAAGCAGGACCATCCCTAGAGTCTGATGCATTATCAAGAACATATGGAAGCTCTAGAAATTCCAAGAAAGATACAGTCTGAGGATTGCGGGGATACCCTACCAAAAGGGGAAGAAAAGAGCATTAAAAAGCAATGAAGCACAAATGAATTTAAAAGTCACAACCATGCTATTTGCAAATGCAAAGTCAAAAGGAATGCATGCTAACCAACAACTAATTTAGCTGAAAAAAGAACAAAAATGGATGATAGTGAGTAGGAACAATTATGATAGTAATATCAAAATGTCCTATCCATAATAGTAAGTGAAAGTATAAAAAGATATTTACTAACTGAGTTCTTAATTTCCAAAATCTTAAAACAGGTATCTAGAAAATTTCTTAAACTTCTCGACATGGATAAGAGACTTTGCTATGTTATTAATAGAGGCCCCTTTAGCATCTCACAGAGGAAAAGTATCACCATAACATTTATAAGAGTGATAAACATAAGTTTTACCAGAAAAAGAAGTGTTTGGAACTGGATGGGAGGGATTGTAAGGTGGAATACTTTGTGAAAATTCACAAGGTTTGGCTCCTCTCTCTTCCAGCCTGCTTCTAACCCATTGATGACAATCTTGCATGTCAAGCTGTGTACTCCTACATATTAGAACAGCAATTGTCAGCCACTGGTTTTTGTAGAGTAATAGGACTTCCAAACAGTCCAATTAAAAGTTGCACATTTTTAAATAATCCACCAGTCCCCCCCTCCCAAGAAAGGAGAGAGTAATTGGCATGGCCAACACAAAAATCTCATATATACACACCCAAAGTTTCCACGTTTGATGGTCAAAGGGAAGACACAGTTGAATTTCCGTGTTATTGCAAGCCATTCTTCATCATATCGAACCTTGTAAGGTCCTGGATCCGATTCAATATCAACAATCTAAAAGATCAGAGAAAGCCAGAGTTCATATATCAGCTTCCAGAAAAGACCAGATGAAAAAGTCAGACTTATGATAGATACCTGTAAGAAACTGCGCCCTGGAAGGCACTTATCAAGTGCAAGAAATTTTGTCACTGAGCCACCACTTTCATGTTGAACAAGAGCAGCAAATTTACAGTGCAAGTGAGCTGAAAACCAATAAGACGGTTTCAGTTTTTCGAGCAACTGAGCAGCAGCCTTGCTTCCAAGAGTTCCTTCTTGAATCTAAGAAATATTTTCCAAGAAGCAACCATGATAAGTCAACAAGAAATCTGAATAAGCTTGATATAAGATAATGCAACAAAGGCAGAAAATGAAATTGTTTCTTTTACATTTATTTATTTCCAGCAAATCAATGATAATTACCTCATCTTTGAAATATTTTTTGCGGCGAACAAGTTCCTTCCAGTTTCCAAAATCAGTGATGCCAAGAGGCCAATCATGTGAAAGAAAAATATCGACCGGTTCCTCTACTTGCATTAGTTTGTGAACATCGTACTCACGTACATGATATACAGACCTGATAGTACTGTCATTATATGGTGGCCTCTCATGGTGTCCTGCTCAAGGGAAATCTAATTTGCTTTGGTTTGAAAGGTTAATCACCATATATAATAGCAGCAGTATTATCAGTTAAATATGAGAATTATCTTTTAAACTTCTGTAAGAACAGAGACTCAGCTCTAAACAAAGATGCAACATGATAAATTGATAGGATGCTCACTTTCATTGAATACATAATCACTTTTTTGAAGAACTCTAAAACAAATGCAAATAAACAAGTAAACAACTTCAACCAACCTAAATGATAGTGGCGTGCGTTGTAAATTCCAGAAAGTCCACCGATACGGATATTGCCAAACTTGACAACCCCAGCAAATCCCAAGAAGTATATATTAGGAGCTGCCCATCCCCCATAATACCTATTGGAAATTTGAAAAAAAAAAAGCCCACATATCTTAATGACACAAAGTAACATTTCAGGGCTTTTCTAAAAGTAGCAAAATCCCCAAGCTAGCATATTATCAAACTTAAAGACCCAGAAAACATAAAGGAAAGAACTTTGAACCAGCTTGAAAGAGGTGACTTACAATTCCCATAAATAATTGGAAGCTTCATGATTTCCACCGATAAATATGGTGGGAACCGGGGCAACCTCCTGACCCGAATAGTATTTCCAGAAGGACTTCATCTCCCTATATTTTGGGGGCACACTAAGAGACTCCATATCTTTTTCATTCCTAACTGCCTAAGTCCCACAAGGAAAATTAATAAAAGAACTAAGCTTAAATCCCAATTGGGTATTTAAAGATATCAACATTTGTGTTGAAAACAACAATTTTTTGTCAGAATTTAAGCAGAAACTGAATAAATTTAAGTGAAAGTACCTGAAAGTCACCACAGCAGAGGAGGAGGTCGATTTTGATGTTGCGAGTGTTTTCGATGAATTTAATGGTTTCGTAGACCTTGTCAAGCTCTCCATGCATGCACCCTTCCACTGCTATCTTCATTCTTTTGGTTGCAGACTGAACAAGGAAGCTGTTTAAGCACGAAACTAGATGCTCTCGTTGTGACTGTCGCGACAGAATACACAGACCCGGCCTTTTCGCCTTCTGGTCTAGCCGCTGTTGTGATCGAAAAAAGAGGAAGAGAGAAATGGACCCAGGAGGGGAGGGGAGGGGAGGGAAGGAGGAATTTCTGTGAATGTCGCGCGGCTTACAGGGAGAATAACGGCACAGAATTAAAATTAAAAAAAAATCAGAACAAG